CTCAAGGATACTTCAACATGTGGCGGGAGGAGCCGGGGATCGAACCGACAACCTTCCGATTAGTGGACGACCCCCTCTTCCTCTGAGCCACAGCCGCCCTTTAAACTAAAGTTATGCTGTCAAAATGTCTCTGTTTTGCATCATTTTGATTTAATGTGAACCCCCCTGATACCTACATATTATTCATGGTGATGTAGATATGGAGAATGATAGGTTAAAAAAAGTTAGTTGGCAATTAATTACACATATTCACTCATTCACTAAGCAACTGATGACGTTACAGCTCATACCACTTACATCAGTGCTCTTCCGTCTCTTTGAAAGCAGCATCAAGAACATGAGACAATCGCAGAGTGAGACTTGAAGTCAGCTTTTTGTCATTTCTTTCGCGAGTTGTGACGCTTGTTTTCTTTTCTTGAGATCTAAAAGTGGAGCCAGTTTGCCTCTAAAAATAGCTTTTCAATGTGTTGGTGGCTATTTTGGTCGATACCGTCCGTGAAGTGGGCCTGTGTTTGGTTTGCCAAGGCGTTGAGTGTGTGAATAGATGTTGCATTGGGGTTGCCAGGGGCTGCAGAGTGAGGGGAAAATGGCACGAGAAGGGTTAGTTACACATGGCTGTTCACACTGTTCTTAAGCTCCTGACCCTGCAACGGGCCAAATCACCAGATCATGAGAGCTCTACTTACACCGTAGGGCTGTGTGTTCGTGTTTGTGCTTCTTCATCGTCTTTTTTTAAACAGACAAAACAGCCGACCAGAATCAGTCCAAGCTCTGGTACTTTTAAAGATACACAACTGTTGTCGCCCTGGCAACCACCCGCCTCCTCCCCACCTCTCCATCCTAGCGATCGCTGTGTGTGTGCGTCTGATGAAAAGGCCCAAAAAGTGGTAAACAACTCCAGGTCAGGCATCTGTACAATGCACTGACGTCAGTAGTGCTCCATCACATTCACCCTCAAGTGATGCCGGTTCACCAGGGAGCTGGGGTGTAATGTTTGAGAGACAGACAGCAAGAATAGAAAGTACAGGGGGGGGACAGAAGTGTGGACGAAAGAGAGAAAGAGAGAGTGAGTTCCTCATAAATCGTCAGAACTGCGAGAGATCTTCTCATAACAGAAGAGACAGAGATCAGACGAGGCTGTATCTGCACTACAGCTGAGAACAACTCAAGACACAGCAGAGGGTCTAGAAGGAACCCCAGTTAGACAAAGTGAGGATATCACTGACTTAACATGATGGAAGCGGTCCTAACCAGACTGCGGGACTTCTCCTGCAAGACCTCCACCTTTGATGACTGTAAACCAGCAGGACAGAGCGTGTGCAGGGATCCTCGGAGCAGGAGCGACTGCCTCAGCGGAGGGTGCACAGCTGGAGAGGAAGGCAGAAAACTGGACATAGAGAGTGCACTGGCCTGGCTGCGAAGGGAACTGGTAAGATTGGAGCTCTGATGAAGTCTCACTCTTCTTTCTATATTTTCCATCTCACTGTGTTTTTCAGTGGCAAGGTCAATGACTCAAGTAGTGTACTTAATGGCAATTTTGAGGTGTATGTATAAGTATTTCTGCTACTTTATGTTTCTACTCCACTACATGTCAGAGTTGAATATTTTACTTTTTACTTCACTACATTTATTTAACAGCTTTAGTCAATATTTACTTTGATTTTACAAACAAAACATGTGATTCAATTATATAATATGATTATTTTTTTATAGGTTATAGGCCCTGCATACCTATATAGGTGTTTTGTGTTGGAGTTATGCAAAGCTATGTATGCTGGGAATTATGAGGTTGCCATGTACTAATAAGAATGATAAAGTTGTAAAGTCTGGTTGCACAAGATAATAAATAACTTGTGTGATAAAATAATTTTCTTGCACACAAATGATCAAAAAATATCCACTTTCAGGAGCTTTGTGGCTCCATAATTTAGCACTCTGAAAGGTCGCATTTTGCATAATGATTACAAACATTAACGAGTCAATGCACTGACCTGTTTTAGCATTTTAGCATTGTTGTCACTTGTAGCCACTGTTCAGCAAAAGCTTTAATACATTTTTCTGGTAATACTATCCTCAAGTAGAATTGTAAATGTAGGACTTTCACCTGGAACATTGTATTTTTACATTGTGGTAATGATGCTATTTTATAGATCGTCCACCACAAGTGCAAGTTTCAGTGTTGAATTGAATATTTCAGCCAAATATAATGAAATAATAATAGTATAAAAACATTTTATGTTTTAATGTTAATGGTCAAGTCATTTGTCACCCTAACAAAATGACCTCCTGGGTCACTGTGAATGCTTTTGTGCAGGAAGCCCAAGTTATTACCTTTTTGTTCCTAAGATGCATGTAGGTCATGTTGTTACGATGTCAGCCCCTTTTAAACCATCCTCTCCATTCAAAGAGGCTGGCTGTGTGTGCGTTTGGATGTCCAATTGTGTGTATGTGTGTGTCTGTTTGCACCTCTGTGTAAGGCTTATTGTCATGGCCTAATATATCACTCGCCATTTAGTGCGCTCACCCAGACAGCTCGTCATGGTAACCGAGTGTCCTGAGCCCACACAGAAGAAAAAAAAACACGTGTCTTAGTCAGAGCTGGACAAAACAGCCCGTAAAACCAGAGGCCTACTGGTTGGTTTGATAAGAACTCTTTGTGTAACAGCAATGAATGACAATCATCTTAAAGGGCGAGGAGAATTCACTGTATTTCAACACAGATCGGATTAAAACATTGTTTCCAATCAGTTACTGTGACTTCATTTTTGAAAAGCTTACAATCATTTAGACCTTTAAAATCCAGGATAAAGCTCAAAGTCCATTTAGTAGCTGTTCTCGCTTATCTTAATCAGCAAATGGAGTCATAATTGATATTTAGATGTTCCAATTGTCATTTTACTGAGCACTTTAAGGACTTCTTTTCCATGCTGCCTTAAAAGTGTTCAAAGTTCATTCTTGACTCTAGAAAAAGGTGACAAAAAAATCTCACCTCAAGCTGTTTCAGACTTTTTTAATCATACCACATGATCGTCATCAGCAAATGGAGTTTTCATAGTAAGACGTTCAAGTGTTCATTTTCTTCTTACCACTAAACTAAACAATGCATCTTATGTGTTTTTTTAAATCAAATCCAGGATAGAAATGCAGTAAGCTTGTGTAAATTCAGACAGGTTGATCTGTCCTACTAATAAAAACGATGTTTTCTATCAAATTTTATAACTGATTTGGCAACATTCATGATGGAAAAACAAGTGCAAAGTAAAGTAAAGCCTGATAGACGGCAGAATTTATTTTATTGTTGTTTATTATAGCAAGACATCGCTGAATATACTGTGAGTATTTCTGTTTTCAAAAACTATATTTATGCTGGTTTTTGAAGGCTTGGACCTCATTTAACTGTGGGGGAATAACATCATGAAATCATCTTTATTGTGAAATTTGTACTCTATTTAGTTAAATATTGATCATAGGGAAAGTAAGAATATTATGTCTATAGATTTTTAAAAGACACCCTCAGTTCAATAAACCAATTATTTCCATTTCACAATGACCATTAGTTAACCTTTGTGAAAGATCCAACTTCTCTGCCTGGTGTTTAATATGCAACCAAACTGCTGCTGCAATTCGCCATCACCTCTAATCAAATCCCAAGGTGCTCATGATTTCCTACAGAGAAAGAAATTCTTTGAGAGCGAGAACGATGGCTTTGTTATCCACACAAAACCTCTTGATTTAAACATTTTGGTCACGATAGTTTTCAGTGGAACAGGACAGAAAAGGGGCACAGACAGATGCAGATACACACAGTGTCCGGCACATTATTTGAAAAGAGCTGGTGTTTTTTGGCATGAGGAGGTGGAGCCCAGCATGCCCACATCTCCAGCTCCCTCACAGAAGAAAAAGGTCACGTTTCTTCTCTCGTTCCTCCGAGTGTGGACAAAGGCGGTAAAACCACCATCTTTCAGCCGGAGCCCAGTCTCAGCCTGGTGCTGTAATTAGCAGAGAAAAGAAATGCAGATCGGTCCCTGAAGGTTTTTTGTTTGGGACATTCCTCGATCCTGAGGACAAACTTGGACTCTGAAGTTGGTGGAATTCTGAATATCTTATTTTACAATGCAGGCAATTAGACAGCCTCTCATAAAAAAGGAAGAAAGAGCACGGCAAAAAGATGCATTTGCATTTGAAAGAAGGCAACGCTCAAATGAAATGGCTGAGCATGAGCCCCCTCAGTTTGATCAATAAGGAGTCTTTTTTTTTTAGTTTTTGGTTTATAAGTTCATTTTCAGTTTCTTTGGGGGTTCTCATATTGGTGATTTCTTTCCTTCATCGTATAATATTTGGACCAGTATGTCTGTTTTCCTCTCTGTCAATCAGTCAATATCTAAAATGTATAAAAATAAAAACTAAGCAGATGTTTCTTTTTGTGTGTAGATGGAAATGAGATCCCAGGACCAAGCCTTGATCCGGCAGCTCATGGAGCTTCACTCCGGCATCCAGGAGCTGAAGCAGGAGTTGTCTGAGGAGGAGCAAGAGGAAGAGACAGACGAGGAGGAAGAGGAGGGCAGCTACTGGGACTCTGACAGTGAACAAGGAAGCGGCAGCGCCTACTCTAGCTCAGGGGAGGTGGGCTCTTCCATTTCCTTCCTGAAGATGCCACCGCATATTTACTCACGGGTTTTATCGAAGAGAGCATTCAGCAGGAGAAGCTCTGTGCCTTGAAAATTCAAAAAACTATTAGAAAAACTTTTGGAGTCTCTCCTCAACTTCCTCAAATCCTCTAAGGCAGTCAACAAAGACAGGGTGGAGCAAAATAAATATGCATACATTTGCAATATCCCAGACATAATTTCACTTCCCTGTCTGTAGTATTTTCCGGAAAGAAGCCAGACAAGAGGATAAGTGGAGTTGAGGGAAGAAAAAAAGAAAGCATGTGGTTTCATGCTTGTCATGGCTTATATGTTGACGCTAAAGTCATTTTAATTTAAAGGACCAGTGTGTAGGATTTAGTGTCATCTATCAGATTGCACCCAACCTCTCCTTGTGTGTAGGACAAACTACAGTGGCTGCAAAAAATTTAAAAGGCCCTATCTAGAGCCAGTGTTTGGTTTGTCTGTTCTGGGCTACTGTAGAAACATGGTGGTTCAACATGGTTCAACATGGTTCAACCGTAGA